GCTTGTTACACACCTCCCTCCACCGTTCGCCGTCCAAACCCAATCCCTTCAGATCGGCTTTAATGCAATCTTCCCACCTTCGCTTCGGTCTACCCCTCGGACGCTTACCATTCGGCATAGCAAATATTAACCTTTTAGGAATTCTCTCGTTACTAAGCCCAACAACTTTACAAGCCCATTTGATTCGCCGCGATGAAATTACCTCAATTATATTACCCGGATACAGCTCACGCAATTCGGCGTTGTGTAACCGTCTGAACTCTCAGGTTAACTGATCCTTCTTCGGTCCGAATATTCTACGCAATACTTTATTTTCAAAAACCTTATGACGTTGCTCATCTCTTAATGTAAGCGGTCAAGTTTCGCATCCACAAAGAACTGTAGGCAAGATAATTGTTTTATAGATTCTAATTTTTAAGTTCCGGGACAAGAGGCGCAATCTATTTTGGATTCTTCAATAAAATTGCACAATGCCTTAGTGGTATTCATATCTAGATCAGACTTCCCTTGCAGGAAAGCGCTATTGTTTTGGTTGAGGGGGGTATTTTTTTATAAAAAAAATAACCTAGGTAAAATCAAACTATCACCTCCAGATGTTGAAGTACCATTTTCTGTACAAATTTATAGTATAAAATCTTTATTTAATATTTTGAATTGGGAGAGTATTAGGTAACAGGAGCTCAACACATACGTAATTAATTTAACATCTGTGTAATTAGTGTTAATTATAGATCTAATAGAAGAGCTTCTGTAACCTCCTGTGCTCCTAATACTAAAAACTTGTTTATATAATATAAATAAATAAAAATTAAAATACTGCAAATTATTACTCAATCGTTAATTATTTCCTAATACTTATAAATCTATTATGTGTTACGTGTTTATCTGTCTATCTGTGTATAAAGATTATCTTGGGAACGATCGTAAAAAAAACAAAAAAAATTACACCATTTTTTTTTAAATGATAATGAATTTTCAACGAATCGAAGAAAAAATTGTTTTATTCGGACCAGTATTAGCGAAGTTACATAGTATTTAATTTTACATCCTGATTTTAAAGGATATAAGCAAAATTGTATTTATTTTTAAAAACAAATAATTTTATTTTATTTATTTCTAGGCGAATGTAAAAATAAAAATAAAATTATTTATTTTTTACCATTTCAATTTGACTGATCACACCACCCCAATCATCCTAGTCTTCAATTTTTCACTACAGTAAACCATAAACCCACAATTAGTTAATTATTATTATTTTTGCGTAACCAGCGGTGTTTCACATTCCTGTTTACATTGCTTTAGTTCATAAAAAAAAAACTTACTTTTTCAAGAAAATTAAACCATTATTTTTTTTATGGAGATTTTTTTTTTTTCGTAGGCCCAAGATTCCCACTGAAGTTCTATACTGTCCCTACTGTTATTTTAATGTATAATGGAGATAAATATGTACATTATTATTATTTATTTATTTTTAAAAATCTATTTTGTATCCTTCAATAAATATGCACAATGCCTTAGTGGTATTCATATCTAGATCAGACTTCTCTTGCAGGAAAGCGCTATTGTTTTGGTTGAGGGGGTATTTCTTTCGGTGTTTATTATATTTATTTAAAATAATGTGCTATGGGTCCTCGATGGAGTTACATGTCGAACATTTATCACTTTCTCCAACTTTCATTAATTTCTAGCCGCGATTTGTTCGACCATGGTTAGTTCGTAATCTTGTAATACTATTTCTTTTCTGCTAAACTTAAAACAACTGTTATAGAACCATGGGCGTAGAGAGACGTTAGTTTGGACATATTTAAATTTGATTAAAATCGGTAGGAAAGTCATATGAGTGGAAATACCAGATTTTTTTTTGGATCTATAAAAAACTGATAAATAATGTATTTACATACGTTTATTATAAAAACAGGAACAGTTGGATGGATATGCGGGAAAAGGGGAGTTGCTTAACACAGTGAGATGAGACTAGTAAATTTTCTTTGATGTTTGGATGGGGGGTGGGGAGGAGGGAGGAGGGATGTTCACACAGGATTAGAGCCGACCCCAGGGCTATATAAACTTAGAGCTTGACATTTCCCTCGATCAGGCTATCTTAAACTCAACACTCCATTTTACTGTTAAGATTTATTTGCTATTCATTTTTTAAAACGTTTAATTATAAGTCAGTTACTTATTATTTATTTATTTAATAGCATAACAGTATGCAGTTACAAAAAAAAGAATATTTGAATTAAAAAAAAAACTGACGACAGAAATTAGGAATTTTTTTTCATCCTGAAGGAACTATTTAAACACATAACGAAGACATAAACAAATTATTAGTCCATGATAAAGACCAACATTTCATCAAATTATTAACATCCAGATGAAACTTCGTAAATAGCTTCATCACATCGTAACCTACAACTATTTTATTTACGTAAAATCTTGGAATTAGGGCATTTTCAACCTAGAGAAACTTTGTCGATTTAATTAAGTACTAAAAACTCGTAAATACACATTTGCATTCTACTTGGAACGTAAGATAATTTGAAAGAATCGAAAAAAAAACCTACAAAGATATTGTGCCGTTTGGCCTTATTTACAAAGTGGGAGTGTACATCACGCCAAACACGGCACAATATTTTTAAAGGTCAAATTTTTTTCACATTGCGCTCAAATTATCTTACGATTCAAGTGGAAAGAAAATAGGTATTTACGAGTTTTTAGTAACTAATTAAATTAACAAAGTTTGACGAACTCCAGATTGAAAACGACCCAATTCCGAGAATTTTCGTAAATAAACTATGTGTAGGCTAGGATGGGATAAAGCTATTTACGAAGTTTCAGCCGGATGTTAATAATTTGATAAAAATGGTTCTGTACCACGGAATATTGGTGTAGTAATTGTAGTCCGGGAGCTATGGGCAAAAAATGTGTCTAATTTCATACTAAGGTATGTACTTATAAATTGGCCATGTCAATAGTGCTGATGAGAAAAATGCACGTCTGCGCCAGAATATAGCCACTGGAATACAAAATGGTGGCTATGCGAAGTTATATATACTCTATATACTTATAGATAAAGAAAGCTACAAACCATTTAAATTTATAGTATTTATTGTCTTAAGACATGAATAATAATCAGTTACTCCATATCCGTTGATTTCAAGTCTAAAATTAAAATTTAAGATTCAAAAAAGTTAATTTTTTCCCGTTTTTTGCTTATATCTATATGTATCGCTTATATATACAATATATATATATTTTTTTTCTCTTTGCTCGCATTTCAACTATAAATAGTCTTGAGAAAATTCTATTTTAATTTTTTAGTATGTACAGATTATTTTTTAAATTACTTTATGTATTAGAATTTTTATTAAGTTAGCCTATTGTTAATGTTTTTAATATCAAAAATATTTTTTTCTTTTCCCCAGATTTAGATTTTTCTTTATATATATGTATTTGTTTTCGTTTCTCACATTACAACTGTAACTATTCTTGGAAGGATTTTATTTTATTTTTAGTTCTTTACACATTATAATTTATTACTTATTATTTAACTTTATTTTCTTTTTATTCTGTTGACGTTACATACCATGTAGAATCTTACATTAAATGTTATTATTTAAATTAGTGGATATATTGTTTGAATTTTAATTATGTATTTTTTTATTTGTTCATTCATCGTTGTTATTCTGAGGGGGCTTTGTCCCAAAATAAAGTTTCGTTTCAATTATATTTTAACAGTGAAACTATGCGATATTTGTTCTAGTTATTCACAAAAAAAAAATTGTTTTTGCCACTTTTATCATTCGTTGACTCGTTAACTCTTTATCTTTTCATTTTATGAAAAACCCATAGAAAGAATGTTGTTTAACGTTAAATTTTCTTAAAAAATATACACTACTTTAACATCTTATCTCCAACTATTCAAAAGTTAGAGTAATTATAAATGTATATTTAAAACACCGATATTTGACAGAAAAACTTACTTTTTGAAGTTTGTTGAACCAGTTGCCAAAACTATGCATTAAATCAAAATAAAATCTTTTATAGCAACAGTATCTCTTATTTATTAGCCCAACCTCGTATTTTGTACACAGCATATTTTGTAATATGTCGTTAATTGTTCTTTGATGACCTTAAAACTTATACATTTTTTAAAAATTATACTTACAGTCTTTAGAATTTTAGAGTAAAAACTAGCATCGGGCTAAGTAACTGGTTTCTTTTAGGGTGTTACCAGTTATTGTAGAGTAATAGGAAGAAGTTAAGGACCAATGGAAACCATCCTTGTCCCACCCTAAATATAAAATCTACCGAGAAGCAAAAAAAGAGGTCTTATGATGAGGTCCAGCTTTGAGGATAGATCTTTTTATGTTTAGTTCCGGCTTGGGGACTGAAGCCTTGGCCCAACATAGACCATGAGGATCCTGGCAGAGTTTGGACTTGGCCTTGACGGATGACCTCGGATCTCCAGATGCAGCGATGAAATCTACTACCTCTACCTACACCACTTTACATTATAATAGCTAAGTTATAATTCTCCACCATAATGTTAAAATATTTCATGGCAAAATAATTCTCAAAACAGTCCATCTGAAATCATGCATTCACAGTTAACCATTAAATTCATTGAATAACGTATTTTGTTCTTGTACATATAATTTTTATATATTCCTTATTTTGATTCTGCCACTTATTGGTATCATGATGATCACAGATAATGTGTGTAATTAGAAAGCATGATAAACACAAACCAGCCTTAGAGAAAAGAAATCCAATTAATTAATTCTGGACCAATCAATATATTATAGATCCAAATTTATTTTACTAATTTTTTATTCAACATTTCTGGGTTATTATCATCATTAATTATCCAGTGGCATCCCGAATAAACTCAAACACCCCAAAACATAGCATTTTTAATGTCATCCCTTTTTTGGGGATAAGACATAGCAAGAGATAAGTGAAAGTAAGTATAAATTGAAATTTCCTAGACTTCTTGCTTAAAATCCTTGCTCTGTTGATCTGGGACCCCTTCGCTTTCCGCCCCAGGGCTTCGGAGCCCCTAGGGGGGCGCCAAATCGACATTGAGTTAAATCGATCTGAAAATCGAGAAGGGAAAGACCCCCGTCGCCTCCTTAATAGCGAGTTAGGACTTAATGAAAATGTAAATCAAGGAGCTCCTTTCTTCCGGCGTCGCCTCAACCTACACAAACTAATTACAAACTGTTTAATTAGAGACTTATTTATAAAGAGGATAGTAGCGAAAGAGTTTTAACACGAGTTGTAAATCAGTTGGAAGCCTTACTAAAGCAAAAATTTGTTAACCTCCTTCCCCCCAAGCCTACCTTCTTTACAGTTTTGATTTATTGAATTCCTCTTTTCAGGGATGGAGGCCGGGGTAGTTTCGCCAACTTTTTCCGATTATTATAAAGTTCAGCATCAGCGAATCAATCGCTACTGAACTTCGATTTTTAAAACTAAGCAAGATTTTTTATTGAATGAAGTAAGTCGACTGTTCTACAAATCATGGATTTATTAAGTATCGATATTTTATTTATTGAATTGTTTATAACCCATAAACAATACTTCTTTCTGAACCACCTGACTTTGCTTCACTATCACCTACTACCTTACTGCACTTACCTACTACCAAAGTACCAGTACTTAAAAGTGGACCCTATACGATCAGTCATGAATGATACATGATTGCTTCAATCATGATGAACCCCACACATATCAATCAGACTAACGGCATTGTCTAATAATAATATTGTGTTTCATTAAAAAAAAATTGTAATTTATTTCACAATGGTTTATTATTTCCAAACAACTTCCTCCTGACAAAGAAAAAAATAATAAAATGTGATTCCAATTATTGGACTAAACATTTTTTTTAATCATTAGTAATATGCTAAAAAAATCTTAAGTAACACATTAAAAAATCAAAAAACCAAAACAAAGGACATAACCTTTGCAGTATAACATATAAAAAAAAGTGGTGCGCGCAACACAAAACATTCACTTACAGATCTACTTTGAATAAAAATTATTTTCTGGTAATGTTGGGCTATAATACAATTTTTTGAAGTGCATTTTAAACGGAGCTAAAGCTTAAAGCTTACAGATAACAAGTAATTAAGACCATTATAATTACAAAATGTCTATTTAATATATCGACGACAGGCAATAAAAATCTAGTCACTCCATCTGCTTTTATAAACCACGCAACTTTCTTTAATTTTATAAACCACAGAATGACTAACTCCAATTTCAAAATTTTTGAGTGATTTCATTTTAGTGATATTTTTAGTTGAAAAAGTTATCTACGCAGACAGTGAGTAAGTTAATTCAAGAGGTGGTGATTGCAGCATTGAAATATAGAACTGAGAATAAAGGTATAAATTTAGGTACTTATTTCTTATGAAAGATGTTCTTAGGAAAGATTTTTAGTTAATTCCGTACACTTTAAAAAACAAACAAATTTTTGAATTTTTTGTTCGATCACATTGGTTCATTATTGGAAAAAATAAACCAAAATTATTTAAAAATCGCGATATCTTTACTAATAGTGCTTTGACTTCCATGAAACTTTCTTCATTTTTTTAGGAAATTTAAATACCTTTGAAACATCTTATCACAATACCCTCAAAAAAGAGTATACTTTTTGAATTATTCGGAAAACTATTTTCAGATAAGGGCCACCAAACTTCGGTTGAAACGTCGGCAATAAAAACATTAAAAACTGACTGTGGTCTGACTATTTATCAACCATGATATAAAATTGTATCTGAAACATACATTTAGTTTCTACGGAAATTCCATTTGTTTATCAATTAAGATTTAAGTTTTTTAAAATGTTAACGTTTCTTTTTTTTTTCTTTATTCTTCGATATAGAAAAAAATACTTCTATAACGAGCGAGAAAGTACTCGTATTCGAATGAACATGAGTGGAAGGATCCAAACTGCGTACGTTGCTCAACATTTCTTCGAATGGGAATTACACGCACCATATCCCTCCCTCCTTGCTACGTCGAAAGAGAAGACACTTGAGCGATGTTCTGCATAGATCCGGAGCTCGTGAGCTGCAATGCAGATGGAGCCGGGAGAGAGACCCGGAGTCAGCGATTCCTTGCGGCACTGCAGGCCTTGAAGAACTTACCGTGCACTTCCGCATAATTGCGTCAACCACTTCCTGTCACTGGCAACGTCTTGAGGTAGTTCCTTGTATGGATAACTTCCGGGTGTTTGACGAAAAATTAAAGTAACATATTATAAATTATAAGTTCATATTCTACACTTTCCTTCGTTAATTTTGACTACTTCTTTAATCAATTACCGGGAAATTAATTTTAATAAAAAAAACTCAGGGATGCTTAGTCCTCCTCTTCAATATCTAATGTGTTCTAATATTGGATTATAGTTAGGCCATTCCAGTTCATTTCAAAAGTACTATTTCTTAAAATAAAAAAAGAAAACATAAATAAGTAAATAAATATTTAAAAAAATTCTTTTTTCTTTCCTTGCTGCATATTTGTGATCTTATTTTTTCGATCCAGATAATCTAAGAATTGGCGAAACATTGGCAAGTTAACTGTACAACTGCAAGAAAATCGTGAATTCAGTTTGGATTTTTTAATTTATAACGTAATCAATCTATGTCTCTTTTGCAGGTAGATGCTTATTTTAGTAATATTATTTGTGAAGTAGCCGTGTATCCATTGAGTCTTTTTCGGAATGGATGTTATATAAACCTTTGAGCTTTTTCTTTTACACCTTTTCGTATTATGATATATTAGGTATGCGTATATGTTTCCCTTTTATCTCTCCCATAACCAGCCGTTTAATATAACCTTCCTCTACTGCAGGGGTGCCCATCCCCCCAAGGTGGTGGTGCAAGAACCTACTCACCCTCTCCTGCCAAGATATTTTATTGTTCACCTTTTCTTAAAAACAGAGCAAGCTAAGGTAGAATTAAAAAAATCGTAGATCATATCACTTGCTGCCGTCTGTTCCATGTTTGTCTCTTTTCCCTCAGCCCGAAAATTTTTAAGCTAGTCAAGTATTTGTCTTCCTCAAATATTCATAAACACGTCAAAATGTGCCACCCTCAAAAAATTTCTTATTTGTTCTACTGTGTTTATGGAACCTGTTTCCTTCAGTATGCATTTGGATGGCTTGGTGAGATGTCAACAGCAAATATTTTTTTCTTTTCACTTTTTTGTTTCTGAATATATATATATATATATTTTTTTTTTCAGAAACAGAAAAGGACAAAAGAAAAAAGTAGAAAACCAAAAACATTTGCTGTTGACATTCACCAAGACATCCAAATGCATACTGAATATATATATATATATATATTCATTTTTTTTTATATAAGTCTGTAAGGAGACCGCATCTAGCGGCCAAAGATCTTCATGGTCTGTAGTGTTAACCGAAAAAAAAAAAAAATATATAAAATGTCCTCAAGATGCTTCAATTACTTTGGCAGTGTAAGTATTCATCTGTATAATAGAGACTCATTGCTTCGTTGTTTGTTGTTTCTTTTACCATTCATAACGTAATTGCAATATGCTTCTTTTTGAACTATATGCTTATTTAATCGATTAAAAAAAAAAATTAACTTCTATCGTGATCAATTTTATGATGAAATATAAAACTTGGCAGCTTTACTCCATTATTTTGATATGTTCATAAATTTGTTTTAATGTCACAGTGAAAATCTATGTATTACTTTATTTTTTCTTTAGTTTTGAGTCGGTGCTGCAGGTATGTGAATTTTGGTCCTTAAGTATTCCTGATACTTTTGCATTTTTTTCTCGTGTTTTCTATTTCTACATTGCTGTTCAAAATTAACGTTTTGGATGCAGAGTGATTGGCTTGATCACTGTATAATAGTGTCGGAGTTTATTTTTAATAATTATCTACTTATTCAAGAAATTTCAAATTCATATTTTTAACAAAGTGAAGGCATGATACGCGACCCCTTGTTCGTGGAATGATAATGTAACTTTTTTATTCAGAATAGAATTTCCTATAAAGATCCGTTGTCAAAAGTATTTTTTTACCAAAAAGTACCATCTCGATCCCAATGTGTGCACTCCTGGAAGGGATCCAGTCCGGTAAAGTAACGTGCTGTTGTTTACTGAAAAGAGCGGTTCAAAACAAAGTAGGAAACGATCCATGAAAACTAAATAAGGCGACTAAAAAGAGCTATTTCCTCAGACATGGGAGAGGGTAATGAATAAAGTTGAAGCTAATTTTATTTGCGGCCTGAAAACGGGGAGACATCTGGTCACGAATAGTTGCGTGCCGAGGGGGAATTCCCCGGATCGGGAGTGCACAAGACGAGCATTAGGTTCCCCCTAGGTGCTCCCTAATAACCTGGATCCAGGGGGGTTAGAATGTTATCCTTCTAGGGCTAGGCCTAATTGGTCTTCCTCCTCCTACTAGGGGGCAAGTCTTTCTCCTTCAAGGATTTAGGTGACTGAAATTAGAAGAGGTATCTGTTCGTTGTAGAGGTCTCCAAACATTTTGGTCCAAGGGGTACATTCAGACCCCCAGTAAAACCTAGATTTATTAAATTTCACATATTTTAATTTTCAACATTCAATAAATTATTTCTCTCTCTATCATGTAAAAAAAAAACCTTTAGCAAGATCGGAGATGCTCTGGAGACATCGTTTGGAAATTCTTGATTTATTTTGTTCTGATTAGCTTATAGTAGAGTGTTATTTGCCATATTGACCTTTCTTGGTAGAAGAAGATAAAATAAAAAACTAAGACGTGTGGTTTAAACCAGATGATAGTAATGAAAACATCAACACAAGGCGAGATTAATAATAAGAAATATAAATTATTATGCTGAACATTTTTCAGCTTACAGTATCAGGTCCAATGTTTAGCTTTTGAGATATTTCTAACAATATCTTCAATAAAGCTTGTTATAATTTGGTTTTCAATAATACTTTTTCCTTTTTGGTTCTATAAACGCCTAATGAACAGCGCAATGCGTTTAGTTTTCGGAATCTCAAGAGATACTCATATAACTCAGTATTATACCAAGTTGAATTGGCTTTATCCATCCAACCGCCGTCTATACTTCCTTGCCACCTTTCTATGCCAAGCCATCAGAACTCAGAGGCCTTCCTATATTTTTCACAGCCTACAATTCAAATATTCCATTCAATCCCGTCCCACCAGATCTCGTACCTCCGAACTCTATCCACCTCCCCACAGAACTGCAGCGTTCAAGCCGCCTCCACCTGGAATACCATCCCTCCCGATATCCGACTTGTACAATCAGTTTCCTCATTTAAATCTCTCCTTTTTAGCCACCTACTCCTTTCCCTACCCGATTGATCATGAAATGTAGATAAGAGAACTTTTTAAAGTTCCCCTAGAAATGATTTTCTTTACTTATACTATTTTATTTTCCCACGTTTGTATTATACATATCAGTAGGTTTTTAGTGTAATTGTTTTATTCTTTTTCCAAAATCTTAATCTTACCAAATACAGGCATTTATTCTGTTACTGTAATTTTTCCTAAAGGGACAACAGTCCCAGGATAATAAAAATTTTTTTTTTCATTTTTTTATAACACGGCGTCGCGTTAAGATACAATTTCGAATAATAGTTCATTACAGAGAGGATGAAATGCTGAATAATCCTCACTCCTACAATATATAGGTCCGATTTTTAGTTTCTGAGACAGCAGACATTACCCGAGCGTTACACATTGTAAATCTGGCGGCTCAATCTAATTCACTCTCTACAAAAATGTGCAAAACGCACCGAAGAAAGTTTTCACTTAAAAAATAAAATTAATTAGTAGAATACAGACGACTGCAGAGTTAGAGGTTCCAAGTATATTCTCAAATTACTAAAAAATATGCTACTACTATTACCTCGTTGGAGTAAATCAATTTTTATTTTTTTATTTTTTTTTTTATATGAAGAGTTTTTATTGAAGAAAAATACTAAAATCTGCCACAATCTAGGGTATTGAGCATTATGGCTCTATGTTTACATTCATACATTTTAAAATATAAATTGAGAAAAAAAAATAAGAATTAAACATCTAAGTTAAAATATATACAATAAAATAAAAGGAGAAAAACTTGTAAAAAGGAAAAAAATACATTCAAAGATTAGTAAAGAAAGAAAATAAAAATACTTATACACATATTCATTCCTACTTATATTCATTCCTATGTACAGTATTTACATTCAACCTAGGGAAATATGAACCATGCCTTGCCGCTCTCGTGAAAGGCAAGGTAGGGCTCAAGGAGATCCCAGCATTTCTCTCCCAGCCTCATCAATGCTTGAAAGCCAGTGGAGACTGAAGCGCTAAATCAACATACGCTCAGGAATTGAGTGGAGAATCTGGCCACTGCCAGAACTCTATTAGAATATTTATAAAAGTTCTCGGGGTCATTGGCGTGTCAACCTTCGTGGGGGATTATATGGATGGGAAGGGGCTGTACTAAGGGATTATGACGGTGGATAAGTTTTTGATGAAAGTTTGAGAATTTGGATGGAATTACGTCGAGGACAAAGGGGATGTTGAGATCATTTTATTTGTGATGTATTACGGAGCATTAACTATTGTTTGAAGGACTTTGGATTGAAAGGATTGGATACGTTTACGTTTTTTTAGATACTTTTTTATTGTGTAAACTTCTTTATTAAGATATATTACAATCTTTATTTACTAAAAAATTTCCCTTCTCAACTTAAACGAGAATCACCATCTTAAGTAAAAGAAAGTTTTGAAAAAAGGTGCAAATTAATGCACACATATATAATAACTAGCATACTCCAGAGAAAACTATCATTAGTTGAGCATCCTCCTCTATATTGGATTGAATGTATAAGCAATATCAACGAAAAAAAAATTGTTTTCATACAATATAATATCATCTAGATAGTCTATTCAATACACAGAATTGGAAAAGCATCATAATCAACAACTAATTTAAATTTAATAATTTACTTACTAGTGACTTAGCTTGTCCTATTGGAAAATAACCATCTAGTTTTATTGTTAAGCAATAAGAAACAGCTATACATTATTGTGCGTGTTCAAGATCTATTTGTTTGGTGTAATAGAGCTTTGGTTTGAAGTACTCTCAATTATTAAGAGTAGAGAAGTCTATTATTGAGAATA